ACACGAGTCATGCATTGAAAAAACAAATCAAGAGAAGAATGAGTTTTTTCTTTATACGAGCGATAATCTATTTTAAATTGATCTAATTTATGTGAAGGGGGTTCAAACTTAACTGTATGGGAGCGAACTCACTGTCTTGACCATTTTATCCATCTCATTGATGTGGTTGACATTCTACAAGCAAAAACACATGCATAGATTGCTTTGCAAATCAAACATAATTATTTATATAATATAATAAGGTTTACGAAATTGATTATGTCTTTACATTAATGTTGCTGTCATATCTCACTGTCATGATCACTATGCACAGTATATTATATCTCCAAACATTATCTGTCAGTTGTCATTTTAAAATGGGTTTTAACTGTAGATGTTCCTGAATTTTGCCCCCAATTGCAATTGGGTCCTTGAGCTTTTTTTTTTTTTTTTTTTGTTGAGGCAATTACATCCTTTAATTCGACAAGTAGTTTCAATTGAGTCCTATCGTAACAGAATTCGTCGAGTTTGACCGTCTGAATGACACGTGCTCTTATTGTGAGGGGTATATCGGAGTTTTCGTCGTTTTGAGACAAAATCCAATTTGGGGCTGGAAGAGAGGGGGAAAGCGCAATCTCCTCAAGCTACTTCACGCAGCTTCGACCCAGAGTTTCCATATCTCACAGTGAACCCAACCACCAAGCTTGGATTAGCTGTCAGTCTTTATTTTTTTGTCTGAACCAAGAGGTGGTCCTGGATGGGAACCACAACTCAGACTAATCCCCGCTCACACTGGGTCAACCCATAAGAGGTAAAGTGCTGGCCAAAGTGGTGACTCCATACGAGGGCAATGATCGAACCTCTGACCTCTCTTAAGGAATGAAAATGCCAAATCACTCACACCAACCACCTTGGTTGATCAGCCATCGGTCTTTAACTTCTTCATCAAACCCATCTTTTGTGGTTTCTTAGTTTTTAGCTCTTTTACTCTTTATTTGTTTTCAATTTCCCATCACTGTTTCAGAATTTTTTTCGCTCTTTCAACTCATCCTATTGGGTCCTTGGGACGCATTTATATTCTTTACATTCCTTAAAAAAAAAATTCTGCCATTTGTTGCAAAATGCTCCTTGTCATATTTGTCCTTCAACATTCTGCATCATGAAGCTTGGCTTGACATTCAGAATAATAAGGTACAAAAACTTTCCCAGTGGTAAAGCTGTAAATTATCTTTCCGAGCAGAACTTGTACAAGGACGCCACTGCTAAGTGATCTGAAAGCCATCGACCTCGACAAGAAGCGCAAGGTCTTCAACCAAATCGCCGAGTCCTCCACCCTCCAGCCCCACACCTTCAATTTCCTCAACATCCTCGTCGGTGAAGCTGGAGTTACAACAAAATCACGGACACAGAGCTGGCCATCGTGAGCTCGGTGGTGAAGCTGGAGTCGCAGCACCTGGCGTAGATAGCGAAGCAGTTGCAGAAGCTGACGGCGTTGGATTTGGCCACGTCGACCAACACCATGGCGTAGCTGGCGACTGCGGTGGCGTTCATTCTGGCGCCAAGGGCGCC